CCAATTAAGGTAGAATGTACAAGGAACCTTAAAATTTTGTAACACCTAACAATTTGTACCTACATTCATTGCACATAAATAATGTATTCTATTCTATTTAAGGACTAATATTAGTATTCTGTCAAATAAATGCTTTTTTTTCTTTCTATTCCGCCCTGAGTTGCTACTTTTCAACCGACTTAAAAAAAGGAGGAGTTTTTTTTATGTGTATTTTCATTTTACGAGTAACAAAACTCGATTACTCGAAGACGCCTGGACCGATTTTAAAATTCTTTTTTTATTTGAAAGGGTAGGCTTGTCATTTGGTCCAATTGTCATGAAGTCAGGATCTGATGATGGAATCCCAGGGGAACCGAAGGGAACTTAGCGTACCTCATGTCTGGCGTGCTGGTAGTACTCTATACTTTAGTATTGCCGGATTACTGTTGTGGAATCAAAGGTGCTTGCCGCGCGCATGTCCTGTCTGCGCGCGGAGGCACGTCGCCGGGACGAAACTCCGCTGCCGCGCCAGATTAGTGCGCTTAGCCATTAGACCACCACGGATGGGGCCCAATAGGATGATGCTGATACGGAACCGCGGAGAACTTAACGGGTTACCGGAGCTCCGGCTCAAAGTGCAGGAGTAGGAACGGGGTGGTTTTTAGTCAGTAAGAGTCTGACACTCCCTCCCGCCTCACCCAGGCGGGAGAAGTCATACGATGATTTTCCCCACATAAAAAAGCAAAATACGTATACTATAGCAGTGCTGGGTCCGCTACCTGCGCGCGTCCCTTGTCTCGCGCTCTGGTTTTTTTCTTGTTTCTTATATTGTAATGGCAGTAATGGCACGAGCAGATGTTGCGGACGCACAAAAAGTGTACACAGCTGGCGCGCGAGCACAATGCGCGCCGTCCTCTTGTTGAGGCTTCGTCTTACGTGCGTGTTCAGGTTCCGTCACTTTATACTAATTATCTTTATTTTTTGTCAATACTTATCAATACGAACACTTAACTTTTACTTGGCAAACATTGAGTATAACACGCTGCTGCAATGAAATCAATTTGTACTTACGATCGTCTAGTCAATTTATTATTAGTACATACTTTAATGGACTCTGCGTCTCGTCCAACGGGTACTATGGACAGTGAAACTCTTTTGGAATAGTTCAAGACGAATCATGATCAAATTATATCCCACTTTTCTTTCATAGTTGATTTCTTGAGATGAGACCAGCAGGCGAGTGTAGACGTGGCCATCGTATTTCTAAATAATAAGCAATCAAATTTCACTTTTTTAAATCCCAACCAAAACAATGCATTTATTCATTGAACTATGCATACTGAGTTAAACTTTGAAGAAATTGTATGTCTATCACGGTATCACGTCTAGATTTTATGTAATCTGTTCTTAAAGTTAAGTAATTTGATCATTTGAACATACTTTATTGCTTCATATGAAATTAACTACACTGTTCGTTGTTCTATTTAACACAAAACACATTTTTTGATTCCGCACCATTCGCGTGCGCTCGAATATTTATTTTAGTACAGTTCACGGAAGCACCACGACCGGTTGTGCATTCAATGACATTTTATAATTCATTGTATCGTGTGTACGGTGTACGTGATACTAGCAAACTATTTAGACTGAACATTAACTTTGTCTTTCTTCTTCTCCCCCAACAAGCGCTCGCAAGCCGACCACTCTCCATATTCCATTTACTCTACTTTCAACGAAATAATTAAAAATGTACAAGTGTAATGTTTTCATAGCACTTTGAATTGATACTTCAACATTCACCATAGCTGAGATATATAGCAGTTTGTTTCTACTGGTTTCTCCATGCGATCGATATTAAACATGTTCTATGCATAATTTTGTCCAAATTTCAAACTGCTACAACTAAACATATTTTATACTTAATAACACACACGACAATGCGACAACACGGTTAGTGCGGTGGCTGGGCAACAACCGGCTGCCGCGCTACGTGTCGCGGGTTCGATTCCCCCACGGAGGAACTCTTTATGTGATCCACAAATTGTTGTTCCGGGTCTGGGTTTCATGCGTATGTGAAATTGTATGTTTATAAACGATATATAGAACAATATAAAATTCCAGGAATTTGTCAGTAGAATACACAAAGTCTGATGTGATATAACTTAGTTCGAAGAATAAGATCACCTTGTTTAGTTGTCTTTAAAATATGTATTGTTTTAGCTGGGAATAATTCACGTTCACTTAATGATATTAGAATTATTAATAATGCAAGTGCGAGGCGTGCCCGGGTCTGAAACCTTACGGGAGATAAGAATGCAGCGCGGCGGCAGCTGCGCGTGCGCGGAATGTCCACCTGCCGCCGCGTGACGTCACGGACAGGTGCGGCCAGGAGCCCGCGCTCCGTGCGCACTACACTGTACGGGCGGCCGCCGGCTGCCTGCCGGAGTGCCGACCCCTACTTTCCTAACCCACTCTCTTCGCTCTGACAATAACACGGTTTCAATGAAGAACTTGTCGTTATTTCATTGTAAATAATATTTTTATTGCTCTGAACTGTGAGTTATCGTTTTGCCGGTGAAATCTTAATTTAGTATTTCCCCAGACAACGGCCTGTGCGTGCGTACTGCTGACCAAAGGCTTCTGCTCACGGAGAATTTTGTGCATTAATCACCACCACCAGCGCTGGTACCGCCTTAAGACGGGTTGGCGAGTTGGCGATTACAAAGTTATAATTAATTATTAGAAATTACAAGTCCACATGTAGGGTTACGTAGTTACACGTCGCGTCGCGTCGGTGTGAGTGCGTTCAAACGAACTCTTCAGCTTTATATAATAGACCAAGTATAAGAAGATGAGATTACTGAGTTTCGTACGAAACTTCGAAGAATACCTACTACAATGATATTTATTACGAACGAAAAAGGAATGAAAAAGAAAAAAAATAGTATGAGATGTTGATTGATGTTGACGTCGATATTTTCGGAACCCTCTAATTGTACAATCCGCACGAACGAAAATTCGAGTTTGACAGATTATTCTTCAGACGTTTAATGTCATTTCGACGAAACCAAAATAGTTATCGTTTGATTTACGTTTGGGTTAATTTTTATTAAAAAATGAATGAAAATTACAAGTCTTCGTTTTATCACGGTTTCTTCTTGTGTGCAACACGTAGGGCACCAACAGAACCACCTAAATGACGATATAAAATCAATGTACAGTCAGCTCAAATAGTTGTTAACACATGCTCGAATGTCTAGATATCGGTTGCTTTCAGGTAAAGGCTTTAAAACTAATTTTTCCTTAATTAATAGAATGCAAGAACAATTTAGTCGCCTGTCATGCTCACTTAGTGTGGATATTGACATGTCCTATCTCTTTTCAAAGTGAAAACTGTCCTGCGTAGGACATTCTCACAGAGTTAAACTGCACTATATGCACTACATATTCAAATCCAAATTTTACAGTTTAAATATTGAAAAGAAGTAAAAATTTAAATTTAACAATTGTGATTGAAATTGATGTCTTTTTTTTGATAAGCGAACTTTTTGTTTTCTTTTTGTTGTAATATCCTGTTCTTTTATAATGCATGTCGTGGCAGCCTGTAATTAAGGCTACACTATAGACTGTTAAAATATTATGTTAAAAACCTATCATGTATTTTGGTGTATGTTTTGTTGGTTGTCCTTAAATAAATAAGTAAATAAATAAATAAACACGAACCTATATACTTTATATGTCTATGACAGCTAGTAACATTTAGGGTAATCAAATACTTATTTGAATACCTTATGTATTGTACATATATGTTGCATGTGTAATGTTTCACTTCATTTGTTCATTGTAATTCACGAAAGTTGTCTATGGGTCCGAAAACGTTGTTTGCGGCCGCAAATCAAACGAAACGTAGCAATCGAGAACCGGAGTAGACCTCCAGACTCTAGCACTATTATGTGCGACCTCTTGTTATTACCAAACTGATCAATATTAGCATTACAGTACTAGCAGCTAGTCCTGTGTTATTATATTATTCAACGATTGTCTTCTTATAGATATTATAACTGCGGATACATTTAATATCTAAAAAAATTACTTAGCCCAAGTCTGGGATGGACTCCCGTGTTGTGGGAGCGTTTACGAATATACAAGTTCCCAATATTTACATAAACATCACCATCGAACTCGTGACAAGTTGCGGTGCAGCCAGTAGCCCAACCACTGCACCAGCCGTATAGTATTTGTGTAATCTGTGCCTGCCGCGACATACGGCCCCTAGTGCCGGGAGACAGGATCGCGAATCCTCGGCGCGGGCGGCGCGGCGCGGGGCGGCGCGGGCGCAGGTGCGCGCCCACCTGGTGCAGCACGTATATAGCGGCGCGCGCCGCCCGCCGCGCACTGCCGCGCCGGCCGCCGCTCGCTGCGCGTCTCCGTAACTGTCACTCACACGCGCGCCGGACTGTGCGACATGATCATCTGCCTCTCGGGCTTCGTGATAGCAGGGTGCGTGTCTGACAGTGCTGGTGTACTGGTGCCGAGGTCGCTACTGACGTGCTGGTGTACTGGTGCCGAGGTCGCTACTGACGTGCTGGTGTACTGGTGCCGAGGTCGCTACTGACGTGCTGGTGTACTGGTGCCGAGGTCGCTACTGACGTGCTGGTGTACTGGTGCCGAGGTCGCTACTGACGTGCTGGTGTACTGGTGCCGAGGTCGCTACTGACGTGCTGGTGTACTGGTGCCGAGGTCGCTACTGACGTGCTGGTGTACTGGTGCCGAGGTCGCTACTGACGTGCTGGTGTACTGGTGCCGAGGTCGCTACTGACGTGCTGGTGTACTGGTGCCGAGGTCGCTACTGACGTGCTGGTGTACTGGTGCCGAGGTCGCTACTGACGTGCTGGTGTACTGGTGCCGAGGTCGCTACTGACGTGCTGGTGTACTGGTGCCGAGGTCGCTACTGACGTGCTGGTGTACTGGTGCCGAGGTCGCTACTGACGTGCTGACTGATGTGCTTTGTGTTGTTGCAGGACTTCTCCCACGTTGGTGCCGCTCTCCGCACGGAATGATATCGTAAGTTCAGTCCCTTATACTTGCTGCAATATCTTATGTCGTGTATAAATTATATTTTTTTTTATTCTTTATTTGATAAGGGGTTTTTATTCACATGGATATGTCAACCCCATTTTATTTATAGTCTATTTTCATAAAATTATTAAAGACCTATTATTAACACTTATTACTATGCTTATGCTGTACGAAGGAGATTTACTGTCTAGAACTTTTGATTAGGGTAAAAAAAATGCATTACTCATCTTTGACTTAGGGTGAGCTAAAATATTTTGCATACGTTCAAATCCCACAAGTTTAATTTGAACTCTCTAGCCAAGGATTCCCTCCCACCCTTGTTCCTTTCACATTCCATCAGCGAATACTGCACATGTTCAACTTTATTGCACACCCCACAATTAGGCGATGAAGCTTTTCTCATTAAGAAGGCAAATTTTGCCGATGGATAGTGGCCAGAGCGAAGTCTTAACGCTAACTTAACGTAATTCTTAGGCAACATTATAACGTAATTATCGTAGGCCCACGAGGTGGTACATTTTGTATGATTTTATATCAGATACCATTATCGTTAGACATTTCATTGAAGTGACTTACCTATTTATCAAAACATATATTCTTTAACCTAGGATATGCCAGATGTTGCCTCGTAAGCCCAGGTGTACTTTTTTTTAAATGGACTGGACACTAGGATTTTCTTCTGTGTCGTAGGTGTGTTTACAAACATACAATATGACATTCACATGACACCCAGACCCGGAACAACAATCCGTGGATCACACAAAGGGTTGTTCCGTGGGGGAATCAAACCCGAGACACGTTGCGCGGCAGCCAGTTGCCCAGCCACCGCGCCAACCGTGCAGTCAAACTAGTACTGTACTGTAGTACCCACTGCAAGATAATATTAATGCCATCTTGGCTATAGCAGTGCAATAGTTGTAGAATTTCATAGGCTGTTAGTATAACTAGTTTGTTCAAATTTTGACTCGGGGAATAAGATACCGGTTAATTATTACATAACAATGCTTAACTTAACACGTTGCGATTTATATTGAACGGGACACGGTTCGGTTTATTCTTGAAGACGACGTCCGTCCAATTACAACGCGAACGTTTATAACCAGAAGGTTCTCAGTTTGACCTGTATGTATATATATATATATATAATTCTTCTGTGAGTGTGTATGTCACTGAACTTCTCTCAAACGACTAGACCGATTTTGATGAAATTTTTTGTGTGTGTTCAAGGGGATCTGGGAATGGTTTAGATTCATAAATCAGCCCGGCAGATGGCGCTGCAGTCGATGTTTAGGTTATTTATCCTAAACAGCTGAACTAATTTGAATGAATTTTTGTTTATACATTCAAGTGTATATGCAGGACAACGTCTGTTGGGTCCGCTAGTGTATGTATGTATATATGTTTGTGCGCGATTGGCTGAACCGATTGATTTTGTTTTCAGAAAAGCGTTTGTTACATTTAAGAAAATGATTCAGTATGTTAATTAACCGTTGAAGTTAGATTTTTTATACAAAGTTTATAATTTTATATTTACTCTTTAAAATTAATATAAAATTAGCCAATTAAAATGAGCCCAAATTAAAGGACTGCAGGAAGAAATTCCTACTGGAATACACAGTATCTATGTTCTGTTTGTGTTCTCCTGTATACCGTCTGTGTGTTGGGCATACATATATAAAATAATAAATACATTAACAATTAACGTAGAGGAATGAAGTGTTTGATCACAATTGGGTATCAAAATTAAAAATCTAATTAGTCCGTTAGTTAAATAATGAAAAAATATTAGACACGTATTTTTTTATTTTCTCGTATTAAGTTGCAATACTTAGATAAAATGACGCTAAGTTTAGGGAGTGGGAGGTCGTTACGTCACAACGTGCTACAAAATGTGACACGCTGTGACGTCACACGATATTTCAAATGAATATATCGTCGAAAGTATTTGATTTTGTGAGAAAAGAAAAAATACGTGTCTAAAGTTTTAAATTAATGTACTAGACGGACATTAAAATAAAATTTAGGAAACTACCCTATTAGTATTGTGAATAACAAAGACATTTATTTGAGAACTTCGTTACTCGAACAAGACAGAACGCAGCTCTCTGTCACTGTGTACATTGCGACACTTCTTACATTACTTGTTATGAGCTAAACTTGGGCTGATTTTCCCAACGCCATGCGCCATCGCCAGTTATATTTTAACAGAGAAATAACTTTAAATATTTGACAAGTTGTTCCATACTAAAAACATACAACTGCCAATTTTATTCTACAGTTGAAAATTATCTTTTGTTGTCCTTACTTGTTTAATATTGAGTTAAAACAAAGATTTATTTGATACTTGCCACTCCCGCGCGTTGTCTCGCAGTGCTCGGCTCTTATTAATCATAGCTTGATGTTTCATAGCCTATCTTTGTCGATAAATGGTTTACTGAATACAACAGGAATGTTCAAATTGGAACCAGTAGCTTTGGAAATCAGCGCGGTATCAAACAAATATATTGTTCAGATATATTATACGCGTATAGATCATAAATAAACTTTATTACACTGTAGCTGCTTGTAGAGAACTCGTTTATTTGCAACTTCTATTCAGATATTTCTTGAAATCAGCGACTATTGATGAATTCTTACTAATATTATAAATTGGAAAGTGAGTTTGTTTGTTTGTTCCGCTTCACGCCGTAACTACTAAACCGATTGCTTTGAATTTTTGCAGACGTAAAGTTACAAGTCCGGATTAAATAATAGGGTACTTTTTATCCCGGAAAAATTTGATATTCCTGAGGGAAAACAAAAGTATTGGTATAGATGGCGCTGTGTGTATTGGTCACATAGGCTACTTTTTATACTTTTGTGACGCGAGCGAAGCCGCGGGTAAAAGCTAGTGTACTTATAAATACAATATTTGATTAAAGAAAAACATTACTATTAATTTTTAATATTTAAGTATCCCTTATTTTCATTGTCGTGTGTCACTCATTTCAGGTAATACATCATTGTAGGGACACTAGTATGCAACTGTTCATATAATACGTATACGATTGTATGTGTGAGGTGTCTACTTACATTATTCCTTATCCCAAGCAACTGTGTCCAGTCGATGAAATTATATGTAAGAGTTAACACGTTCCTTAGTTATCCGCGTGTCAGTTGCGATAGATTATCATAATCTAATTGTATGTCTGTATGACCTAGTGTGTGTGGATCAATATATTTTATAACAGTGCTATAACTTTCATTGACCGATTATTATAGACAGCATATCTATAACCACTAAATCTACAATCATGTTTATTAAAAGTTGAACTCGGACATGTACATTCACTGATCCCCATTGGAAGCGTCCAGTCGACAATGTCTGCGGGAGTACAGGTCTTGTAACGCGGGACTCGTTGTTGCAGGCCGTGGTCGAGAGACTGGGCGTCAGCGTGGCGGGCTGCGAGCGCATGCTGGGCGTGGGCCCCGGCCTGGCGGGCCCCGGGCTGGCGGGCCCCGGGCTGGCCGGGCCCGCGCTGGCGGGCCCCGCGCGCTACTCGCCGCACCACCAGCAGCTGCTGGCGCAGCTGGCGGGGCGCGGCAGCTCGCTGCAGCTGGCGGCGCGCTCCAGCAGCTCGTCGGCCGAGTCGGTGTCGGCCGCGTCGCTGGGCTCGGGCCGCGTGCGCACGCTGTACGCCTGCCTGGGCGAGAGCGAGGGCGAGCTGTCGTTCGAGCCCAACCAGATCATCACCAACGTGGCGGCCTCGGGCGAGCCGGGCTGGCTGCGCGGCACGCTCAACGGCAAGACCGGCCTCGTGCCCGAGAACTACGTCGAGCCCCTGCCCTGACTGACGCCGCCGCCCGCCGCCGCTCTAGCCTTATGTTGTTGATTGTTTTCTATCTATTTGTATATTTTGTACATTGTAAATAAGAGTTTGTTGATATTTTAACTATTTATATTATACTTTGTTGTGAATTTTGTACCAAATATATACTATGTATGACGTATTATTATGCGATACCCCGCCGTGGGTTTTAATGATAATGATAAAGACTAATTTGAACGAAAAATTGTATTTGATTTATTCCCAATTAAAGTTACATGAACGTAGTCATCGATGAGTACACGAATCAACTAACAATAATTATATAAGTCAAGCGTTACATTCGTATGCGATACACGTACAAGCGTCACAGTCCCGGCTCCGCGCATCGAGCCTCGCCACCTTCACTCGTCACCCGGGCATTAGCTGCTGGCCTCGGCCGCGCCCCCGGCCCCCGCGCCCCTGGCCCCCGCCCCCGCGTCCCCCGGCCACGCGCCCCCCGCCGCCGCCAGGCGCTCCAGCTGGCGCGCCTCGCCCGCCCGCACCACGCGCTGCAGCGCCGCGTACTTGTCGCGCAGGGCCCGCAGCCGCGCCGCGCCCTCGTCCGCCGCGTGCCGCGCCGCGCGCTTCAGCTCCGCCACCGCCGCCTCCCGCGCCGCCAGCGTCGCTTCTAGCTCATGCGCGCGCGCCGCCGCCGCCTCTGCGCGCGCGCCGCTCGCCTCCGCCTCCGCCTCAGCGCGCGCCAGCGCCGCCCGCAGCGCGCGCTCGTCGGCTGGCGGGGCGGAGCCCGCGGCCTGCGCCCCGCGCGCCGCCGCACTCAGCCGCGCCTCGCGCTCCGCCAGCACCAGCAGTTCGCGGCGCAGGCGGCGCACGTGCTCGGCGCGACGCTCGGCGGCCAGCGCGGCGCGCGCCAGCGCCTCGACGTGGCGCGCCGCTTCGAATGACTCGCCGCGCGTGCGCTGTAGCTCGGCGGCGTCGAGGGCGCGCGCCGCTTCCGCCTCGCGCAGCGCGGCCTCGGCCCGCAGGCGCGCGGCGCGCTCGTCCGCCAGCTCGGCCTCGAGCGCGGCGTGGTGCGGCGCGGCGGGCGGGGCGGGCGGCGCGGGCGCGTCGCGCGCGAGGCGGGCGCGCAGCTCGTCGCGCTCGCGCGTGGCGTGGCGCAGTCGCTCGGCGAGCGCGGCGTTGTGCAGGTCGAGGACGTGCGCCTGGCGACAGCGGCCCAGCAGGCGCCGGTTGCGCTCGGCGTGCGCGTCGCGGCGCCAGCGCTCGTACATGAGCTGCGCGTGCGCGAGCGCGAGTTGCTCGGCGAGGTCGGCGCCGCCGCGACTGGCGCGCCCCGCGTACAGCTCGGCCATGTAGGCGTCCAGGCGCTCGCACGGCTGCGTGGGCTCCGACCCCTGCGACACACCCGCATACTAATATTATAAAACTGAATGATGAATTGTACCCTCAAAAAAATAAAAAATAATAATAATAAATGATGTATTACAACTTTATATATCGAAAATAGTTACTACTTCGAATAGTACCACACATGAGTCCATTGTCCCCAATCAAGGACGGCGTTTTCAAAAAATTTTTTTTTCTGATATTAGTTTGTGGGCGTCATATCATTAATAAAGGATTTTTTTTTAAATTACGTGTAGTTTGTAATTGGATCCTATGGTTAATATTCTTCATCCGTAAAATAAATTAATTTAAAAGAAGTTTAGTCGTTTTCTTTATCCTTAAAATAATTACCACCTATTTAGTATTTTAATTTGGTTATTAATTTTATTAGGAATGGCCATTTTCGTTTGTAGTTCTAAATGGTTTAGCGCTAATTTCAAATTAATTACCTATACCTAATGCAAAATATATAAATATATTGATGTTAATGTCTGTCGAAGCGCCTACTGCTTTTATAAAAGCAATTACACTCGACTGGGTAATGATGCGAACGAGCGCACGTCAGGCGTACTTGCGGGTCATTTTATTGTATTCTGTAACCTGTCATCAATCTGTATTTTGTCATTGTTCGGAATACACGCTATTTATTTTCCTCGACTGCTTTAAATTATTTCACCACCCGGGAGTCGTGGAGTCTTCTACAATGTCTAAGTTTAGGCGCGATTATTAGTATATTGACCAATTTCAGAAAAAGAAAGGAAAGGTTAAAGTCGGTTTTTTTAAACGTACTCTCATAAAATAATTATTTGTATATTGTTGTATTTTAAAATTAGAAATAAATGTTTATCTATCGGACTTCTTCATCCATTGAAAGGTTAGGTATATTTTTTGGGGCGCTTTATTCGGTTCGGCGCCATCTTGAACACTGAATTGACAAATGTCAGCTTTCGAGATTACGCAGCATTGTACGGTGACTCGACTCTATAGATCTCTAATGACATGAAGTGTAAGTATGTACTTCAAAATAAGTGTCGACTTACTTGGCGACGAGTGTCGTCCGGCAGAGAGTGGAAGAAGTCGGAGACTATGAACTCGTAGGGCTCCGGCCACGTGTCCACCGTCTGCACCGCCACCGACGCGCGCCCCGCGCCCCCCAGTCGCGGGGAACACGACGCCGAGCGGCGCGCCCCCGCGCCCCCGCGCCCTCCCAGTCGCGCACAGCGCGCGCGCGGCTCCGGCAGCTCGCGCCGCCCCGCGCCCCCCGCGCCCTCCGCCCACGGCTCCGCCGCCCCGCGCGTCGTCAGCTCCAGCACCTCGCGGTCCTCCACGTTCAGCGGCTCCTCCGCGCCCGCCACCGGCCGGCTCGGCTCCGGCCGCGCCACGGCCCCGGCCGGCGGCGGCACGCCCGCGAACGGCACCGGCGAGTCCGCCGCGCGCCGCTCCGACGCCACGCGCGCCAGCCGGGACGAGTACGCGTCGCCCGGCGCCCCCAGCGCGGCCGACGGCGACGTTTCTTTGCGTGGCGGCGACGCGGGCCGGGACCTGCGTCCGATGGCGCGCACCGCCCCCGACTCGGTGGGGAAGCGGAACTGCGCGCGAGTCTCTCTGGCCGGCGTGTTCTCCGGCGTGGCCTCCACCGCGGCCTCGGGCTCCGCCGCGTCCTCCGCCGGCAGCGGCGTGTGAGGCGCAGAGTCAGCGCCGCAGCGGTCGCCCAGTGGGAACCAGGGCTCCGTGCCGGGCCGCAGGCCGCTCGCTGCACGAGCCGCGTGCGCGCCCGAGCCCGGGGCGGGGGAGCCGCGCGCCGGCGCCGGCGGCAGCGCGGCGGCCAGGGCCGGCAGCGGGGACGGCGCGGCGTCCTCGGCGCGCGCGTGCAGCGACAGGCGCCGGCACTCCGCCAGCACGTCGTGGTGCTCCTGCCGCGCCCAGCGCGCCGGGTCGGCCTCGCGCAGCCGGCTGCCCGTCACCAGCGCCGGGTGCAGGCGCACGGACTCGGCTAGCGCGCCCACGCCGCGCTCCCAGGCGTCGCGCGCGGCGCTGGCCGGCAGCTCGGCGCCCTGCGCGCGCAGGGCCTCCAGCAGCGTGCAGGGGTGCGTGGCGTACAGCGCGTGGAACAGCGCCAGCTGCGCCAGTTGCAGGTGCGCGCGCGTGGCGGCGGCGGGCGCCGGCTCCAGCGCCGCGGGCCGCAGCAGCGCGTCGGCCAGCTCGGCGGGGTGCGTGGCGGCCAGCGCGGGCGCGGCCGGCAGCAGCGCGGCCAGCGCTAGCAGCGCGTGCAGCAGGGGCAGCGCGTCGCGCTCGTGTCGCGCGGCGCGCAGCACGTCGCGCGCCAGCGGGTGCGCGGGCAGACGATGCAGCCAGGGCGGGCGGCGCGCGACGAGCGGGGCGAAGGCCGCGAGCGCGTGGTGTCGCTGCGCGCGCTCGCCGCGGAGCTGCTCCTGCAGCGCGTCCAGCAGATGGCGGGCGTGCGGCTCGGGCGCGCGCGCCAGCAGGTCGAGGGCGCGCGCGGAGCCGGTGCGCGCGTGGTAGGCCAGCAGGGCGCGCGTGAGCCAGGGCTCGCGCACGCCGCCGTAGAGCGCGGCGAGGGCGGCGGCGGCGTCGCGCGCGCCGGCCGCGCCCCCCTCCAGCAGGGCGAACACCTCGCCCGCCTCGCACGCCGCCTGCATCTCCGACCGCCTGCCGTCGTACTCATATCACTACGGGTCTCCAAAACCAAACGACACTGTTCTATCACATACACGAAAGGATTTGGACTTTTATTTGTACCCCAAATAATTCACGAATTTAATTGGACTACACTGGGATGCTGTGAGGTGTCGGGTGTAAAGGAAACAATAATTAATTAGGATACACGTGTTTAATAGATGAAGTCTAGATTACGACTAATACATTCTTAGATCACTACACTACACCTTCCCCGCAAAATAAAAAAATAAAAAAATGGTTATACAATTATTTTTTTTTTTGTTCTTTTTTTTATGTTATATATTAATTATATTTTAATGATTATAAGACATAGGAATGCATAACATAAGATGATTGATTACATTTCATAATAATCTCTAAAATGATACATGATCTTTATTATAATAACAATACAATACCTCACACATACCATACCATATTAAGGAAGTTCTTACAAAGTACAGTCGACTACATCAATACATTATACACTATAGTAATGAAAGTATATACTTTAACAATAATACGGTCTGGTTCTATTTTTATGAACCACAATTTGCTTTGAATTTTTCTCGATTTTTACATTCGGCGCTATATCCTCTACAACAGTATAAGGTCCAGAGTACAAATTATCTAATTTAGAACAATTTTCATTTTTCAATAACACAAGATCTTCCTTTTTGTAGATAACTGGGTTGATATTTTTATCATACAATAATTTCCTATGTTGTTTACTTGCAATTAAATTATTTTTAGCATCTTGATGAGCTCTTTGTAATCTGAATTTTAGTTCCAAGGGATAACTATCGAAATTATACAGTTTATTAACATCTGAAGTTAGACTATTAGGTAAAGTACACACATGACCAAAAACAAGCTCATAAGGAGTATACTTAGTTTCTGAATGTACTGTTATATTATAAGAAAATTGCCAGTATGGTAGCCAATGACTCCACGACCTTGAATTATTTCTGCAATGAATTCTGAGATAATTCCCTAAACTTTTGTGTGCATTCTCAAGGGCGCCAATACTCTGGTGGTGATACGCAGCAGCAAATCTCTGTTCTATATTTAAAAGCTTGCTTACCTCTTTCATTGTGGATGATATAAACTCTGCCCCTTTATCTGATGCAATAGTTTTGGGTATACCATACCTTAGTATAAAATGCTGCACAAATGCTCTCGCCACACTCTCGGCAGACTTCGATGTCATAGGGGCAGCAATTAAGTATTTGGTTAACTCACATTGCATTGTTAGAATGTAAGCATAACCGTCATCGTCTTTTTCTAAAGGACCTACTACATCCAAAAATATTTTATCAAAGGAACTAGATGACGTTGTTGTAATTGAAAGTGGTTCCTTAATATGTCTGAAATATTTATTTCTCTGACACGCATCACATTTATTTATAAAGTCCAATACATCTTTTTCCATACCTGGCCAGTAATAGTACTTTTTTATATTGTTTAATGTTCTCCTTATCCCTGCATGGCCGCTTGTCGGCAATAAGTGAAAATCATTAATAATAATCCTCCTAGTGTCTTTATTTTCTATTCTATTTACGTCGTTTATTACACAAATTCTAGGTCCCTTCCATTTGTCATTGTTACTTATTTCTCCGACAATAATTTCAATTAATTTTTTATTTTGTTGATTTTTCCTTATCACAAGTTCAATAATTCGATATTCTTTACAAAAATATTCCAATTCTTTTAACAATTCGCCTCGCGTCAATGTTAATAAAGAATTTGGATTAACATAAATAGTTAAATCTGTAGGAACGTAATAAAAAACCTCATTATTTGATTTATAATAACTTTTTCTCATTTTCATCTTATTTAGAGTCATTTTATCTATAAGTGTAATTTCAACGTCGTTGTCAGTCTTTTTGAGTATTTCAACTATATTCGGCTGACTTGGTGACAATTCGTTTGTCGCGCTCTTATCCACTTTGTGGTCATTATTGTTACTTTTTAAAATTGATTTTGCTTTAGATCGCGTCATAACTGTTATACAATCATTGTTAATAGTTTTTAGCTCGTCAGACGTTATAATTATACGAGATAGTGCATCCGCTGCCGCATTATCCTTCCCTCTTACAAATTCTATATCAAAGTCATATTCTTCAAGTACAAGTCGAAATTTCATAAGTCTACTACTAGGCTCTTTCATACCAAATAAATATATCAAAGGACGATGATCTGTTTGTATTTTGAATTTCCGACCAAACAAATAAGGACGAAAGTATTTTACTGACCATACAATAGCTAAAAGTTCTTTTTCAATAACTGGGTAGTTCTTTTCGGCTTTATTTAAAGTACGGCTTGCATAAGCGATTGGTCTACCATCACCATTACATAAAATAGACCCTATTGCATAGCCAGAAGCATCCGTTTTTAGAAGGAAAACATTATTTTTATCGAAAATGGGGTACTGCAGTAATGGAGATGATGTCAATTTTTCCTTTAGTGCCAAAAAAGAGTTTTTACATTCTTCAGACCACTTAAAAGTTACATTTTTGCGACAAAGATTATTCAATGGACAGGCTAATAGCGCAAAATCGGGTATAAATTTGCGATAGTAATTTGCAAAGGCGACAAACTTTTTGACCTCGTCGCAAGATTTTGGAACTGGATAATTTTGTAATACATACACTTTAGACGGGTCTGGTTTTAAACCTTCAGCGGATATAACGTGGCCCAAATATAAAATTTCTTTTTTTAGAAAATCACATTTGCCTGGATTCAACTTAAGATTTACTTTTCGTAATGTAAGCATTATGTCAATGAGATTTTTGTTATGTGAAGCCAAACTGCGTCCAAAACAAATTAAGTCATCTAGATAGACAAGACATTGTTCATGATGCAGACCAGACATTGCCACTGTCATGGCCCTTGAAAAAGAACTCGGACTTGTTTTCAAACCCATGGGAAGTCTAGTCATTTGGTATTGTCCTGAAGGGGTTACGAATGCCGTGCATGGTCTACTTTCTTTTGTTAGTCCCAATTGAAAATAACCCTTATAAAGGTCAAGATGGCTAAAATAGATTGATCCTGATAGTGCGTCAAGAATATCAGTGATATTGGGCAGAGGAAATTTGTCGTCTAAAATACAATTATTAAGTTTGCGAAAATCTATAACAAGTCTCATTTTCTTAGAGCCATCCGTATTCTCCTTTTTTGGGACCAGTAAAATCGGACTAGCCCATTCACTGCTACATGGTTCAATAATTTCATCCTTTAACATATCGCTTATTTGTCGATCTAACTCCTCTCGCTGTGAGAACGGTAAACGATAAGGCTTAGTATATATAGGGTACGTACCCTGTTTCAACCGTATCTTTTGCTCTTTGATATTGGCAACCTCTAATTTGTCGCCAGAAATATGAAAAACGTCTGAAAATTTAGCGCATATATTAAGTATTGAAGATTTTTCCTCGTCATTTAAATGATCTAATTTTAGTTAATTTAATAACGTTTTTACCCTATCTACTGTTATTGTAGACCTTTCAAAGTTACATATCTCATAATCACGTAGCTTTTCTAATTTAGGATCAAAATAATTCAAAGATATTTCTTGTTCACTAGTATTTAGAATTTGAATTGGAATTTTACCATCTACTGGTTTTCCAATACCACCAGCTAAATATATTCCTTCACCTAACTCCTCTGGGATTACTACACAATCTTCAACTGCGGTAGTATTAATGTAAAAAACTTTTTCACATCTTGGTGGTACCTTTAAAGGAATATTGTGATTTAATTGGCCCAAATGTAATGGTAAGGATGTATTTTCGAGTATAGTTAAGGTATTAAGTTCATAATTTAAGATACATCTATGCTTAGTAAGAAAATCTTGGCCTAATATACCTTCAGCGAAACATGGTAGATTTTTAATAACATAAAAATTATGCTCAAATATATTGTCTTTTAAAAATAGTTTTAAGCACACATATCCTTCTGACTTTATACGACCCCCAATACCATTTATGATAATATTTTGTTTATGGATGGGTAAATTCCATTGAGCAACTGTCTCGCTTTTTACGGCTGATATACTGGCACCAGAATCTACTAACCAATTATAAGTTACGTTGTTATAGGGGATTTTGACATAATTACTAAATTCACATGACAGTAAATTAGGCACGAAAAAACATATTCGTATTGTTTTCCGCAGTAGAGGATTGAATATCGTCTTTAGTAGATATTTCATTAACTTCTAAAAGATCTGCATTTAAAGGGTACATACCTCGATTTTGGTATCTTCCTCTCTGCCCCCTGTATGTACTACGACCACGGTTGTTATTATTACCTGACTGTCGCTGCCACCCTTGATTGTAATAGCCTCGGGGAGCTCGCTGATAGTTTCCCCGGGTGCCTCTCCCGTGATAATACGATGAATTTCTGAAAAAACGGCTCTGTGTATTTGACTCACCAGGTTTTTCGTTGTTAACCATCATTATTTCGCCTTCCGTTGAATTCGCAATGCCTTTACCTATTTGTTCTTCGTCTTTTGCCGCACGTATGACGTCTTTAAGAGTAGTATAATTTCGTGCTGCTAAGATCACACATAAATTTTTGTTACGTAAACCATTTATAAATCTATTAATAGCTAACTTTTCGTTGACCGATTTTAGAATGGCAAAAGCTTGTGTATTGCCATCGGCCTGAGCAATAGTTAGGTCAACGAACAGTTGTTCTATTTTCTTTCCGAATTCATCAATGCTACTTAGTTTCTGTTCACAATTAACCATTTCTGCGTGAACAGCATTACTAGATTTTTTAGTTAATAAATGTAAACGCATTTCTTTAAGTAGTTCATCACAGGAGGAATAACTTTGTTGTAAACGTAGTTTCGCACTATCGGAAAGACGGGTCTTCAATACAAAATTAATTAACAACTGTTCGTCATCCTTTTCTATCATAGAGGAATAAAGTTCAATTGCCGAAATGAGACTCTTTGTAATTTTTTCGTCAGAATTCATTACAGGTAATAGAGCTACCGCCGTTTTTAATTGGAATTTTTCCATTTTGACAATTTTCTTTTGCGTGTCACTACAGCAAAGTTGTATTATACGAGCATATAAACTACTAATATCCGTACATAGGTTCTGAATTGTCTCTAAATCACTGCTCGTAAAGTCCTTCCTTTTAATTTGTTTATCTAAATTTGATTTCACAATTAAAAAATTATCATGTATAATATTAGTCTCATTCAGTTTTTTCTCGATAATGTTTTGAGTTCTACGACTTGGCCCTAACTTAGTTAAATACTCCTTTATACTTTTAAAATTTTCATAAATGTCTTTAAGACGATGGGCCATTACCTTTTAAATTACACAAATGGAAATGCACTTCAATATTATTGCAACGCGAACATAATAATAAACCAGGCGTAACAGTCTTACACTAGTAACTTATTGTCTTTATACGAGAGTAAAAGTTTATATTATTGATATCGACTGTATCAGAAAAACTTTTCCTAATCTTGCACAAACACAATTCACTTGTACTCATTTATGAGCAATCGATTTCACCATACTCGCGCACAACACTACATTTACACTTCGCCAACCTTGTATGAAACTTCAGCGGTATTCTGAGCACCTCTCGCCCTAGTCGTTCCTCGACGTAGAGAATGTCGTAATATCTCCTGCCGCATAAGATGTCTTTGACACTTTCTATATAGTATCAGCAGTACGTAGCAAGCACCTCCACAAATAAACATGGCCACAATCATAAGAAGTATTATACTCGTAGTACTTGCATGGCTCATAAACTGGGTAATATCAGCATTATTCGATCTGCCAGCATTTTGTGCGATCACTATCAGCTCTTCCTTAGAAATGGTCTTCCCCATTATTGTAAATTAAAAAATTCGGTGTTTGACTGTGAAACCGGTGTAACGCCCCGTAAACAGGCGCCGCGATGAACAATAATTGTCGACTATTCGTCATCCTTGAAACTTTCTACAGCTTACTTGGAGAGTTCCTAATACTGGTTCCTTTTATGGGCAACGGAATGTAAATAATCGCGCGTACCCGAGTCGCGCCTCTGGCAGGGTCGCCATGAGGTGTCGGGTGTAAAGGAAACAATAATTAATTAGGATACACGTGTTTAATAGATGAAGTCTAGATTACGACTAATACATTCTTAGATCACTACACTACAGCTGGTAACACCTTTTTCTCAGATAATATTCAGAGTTATCCTTACTAATATTATAAATCGGAAAGTGAGTTTGTTTGTTTGGTCCGGTTTCACGCCGTAACTACTAAACCGATTGGTTTTAATTTTTGCAGACGTAAAGTTAGAAGTCCGGATTAAATAATAGGTTACTTTTTATCTCGGAAAAATTTGATATTCCCGAGGGAAAACAAAAGTATTGGTATAGATGGCGCTGTATGTATTGGTATATGTCACATAGGCTACTTTTTATCTTTTTGTGACGCGAGCGAAGCCGCGGGTAAAAGCTAGTATATATATATTAATGAATCCCTTTCTCCTTTAGTCACGGCATCACGCGTGAATGGCTGAACTAATTTCACTAATTTTTTTTTGTTGTATTATTGGTTATTGAACTTAATAGGGGAAGGTTCTTAAGACAGAAGAAATCCTGAAAATCCTATGGGAATGGGAGAAAACAGGATTGCACGTACGAAGTCGCGGGTAGAAGCTAGTTTATTATAATTTCAAGAATAACATAGATTAGTAAATTGTAACATTTCAGATATTTTGCAACCCAAAACTATTAATTGTAAGTTTAGTTTAATATGTTTTTTTATTTTGTATTGATATTTTGCCCGACCGAATTTAACAAAATACCTCCTGTTTGGCTGGCGCACTTACAACGACATGACGCACTCAAATACTTACTTAATTACTTAATCCTATAATATAATTTTTGACCCACTTATGAAAAAAGAGGGATGTTGTCGGTTTTTTTAAATGTAGTTTATACAAGAATTATTAACGGAAAGTTGGCAAAACACAAACATTTTCACCATAGCTCAGACCACTTCTGTTTTCAAGGTGTCATTGCCATGATTGCCTGTGCTAAAGCTTATCAAATTCTGTCATGAGGTTCTTTGTATATTAACATGTTTTTGTTAGGTCAAGTTGTAAGTTTCTTACATGTATAAGAAGTAAATCTTATAATTTAGGATGAAATAAAAGTAATTAAGAAACAACATTTAATGTTTTATTCTTCCATAAATTCTTAAACACAAAAATTCTTATATTCTGACGTTTAAAAAACCAAAGACTATTTGACAATAGTAATCAATTCAAAGATCAAGAAAACCTTTTTCTTTACATCTACCCTCCCGAGGAAGAAAATTCACCCGTCAATTTTCTCTCAGGGCCTAGCTTATTTCTTCTTCCATCTCTTCTTCACTTGTATCTTCCTTATCTTTATTCTTTTCTGTATGCACTGGAATTAGTTTTGATATATGAAATAGATTTGACTCTGTCTTCCTGTGTCCTGTATCTATCTTATAAATTGTATTTGATTTTTTTTCTATTATTTTATATGGTCCAATTCTTAGTTCATCCAGTTTTTTCCAATTTATTTTATTTCCATTTTCTACATACACCATATCTCCAACTATAAATTCTCTCTTTTTTCTTTTTCTTTCATAACACATTTTGTTATAGTAGTGTGATTTCAAAGTATTATTAAGCGCTATTTCTATATCTCTGATCCAGTTACTATATATGTATTCTTGGCGTAGCTCATTTGGTAAGACTGTAGCGCCTGTCCCATATAACAAATAGCATGGTGCGTAGCCAGTTATCGAATGATTAGTCTGATTATATTTCTCTACAAATTCGTGCGCTATTGTAGTCCAAGCTTTTTTTTCACCTCCATTTATCCAATATCTTATCTTATTTACTAGAGTTTGATTTAACCTTTCATTGAGTCCATTTGAAAAAGGTGCATTCACGGCTGTAAATATCATTGTTATTTGCTTATCACAGAGAAATTTCTTGAATTCTTTTGAATTTATTCCTGGGTACTGGTCGGTGAGAAGCATTTCAATCTCTCCTATTTCTGTGACTTTATTTATTAGCTTTATAGAATCATGTGCACTCTAGGTCTGTGATGTTATAATGAATGCGTACCTAGTGAAGTGGTCTACAAGAAGATGTAGGTATTTCTTGGTAGATCTTAAACCACCAAAACCGATTAGAACAAGGTTTTCTTTACACATGTATGAGCAAAAACATGTTAATATCCAGAGAACCCCCACATAGAGTTCGATGAGTTGTAGTACAGTAAACTATAACTCTGATACCTTCTAATCAGTGGAGTAGCGTGTCTTGGTGGGACACTGTATAATAAATATTTGGAGTCTAAATTGCTGGACCACTTCCCATATTATTTCTAAAATTCAACTCAAAAATATATTCTAGTGTGCCCAAAGAGCACCTAATCACTTTGTATCCACTAAATAATACTTTGCATGCCACATGTCATCATCATGTTGCTAAACATGTGCAAGTACTTGATTCAAACAGACTGCTTGTAGCTAGACCTTTCATTTAATGTCAAAATCGAAGCAATAACTCAACAAATAAAAAATCCCAATTTAAAGTGCACCTGATTATAATCCAATGTGGTATGAAGGGCGGTGAGAACCCATGGTTGAAGTATCACAGGTGAGACTCTAAATCGCAGGCACTTATAGCTGTAGGTACATTTCTTTCTTGTGGGAAGACAGGAAAGCTAGGGAGATGACTACCTGGCTCCACAGATTGTAAATTTCCTGCAAACCTTTGTCTCCCATAGTTAAAAGGCAAGAAACAGGCTAATTATTGTACTATTCTTGTACTACTTCATGGCGGAACTAAACTAAACTAGCAACAATGGGCCAGAAGTCGAGTAGCTATTAATAATTAACAAAAATTTTTAATCTCCCAGATGGCAACGTAAAATACTCTATAGTATTGGAATAATATCTGACAAGTACATGGTCGGTAGCCGTATTCATGAAGCATTCGTGGTACGTACCAATCAGCAGTTCGGAGAGAAGATCCCTGAGTCGCTGAAGCAGGAGGAATTTTGATTTATTTTACTTACTAACTGTTACTTGAATCTAATAAAGTACATATAAATAACGTGCCTAACACTGAACGCTATCAAAGAAGCGGAAATATTAAAGTAATTTAATGATTTTTACTATTTTTATAGTAATTTACGGCACACCGGAATATTTCCCAGTGACAATTATTATTTTATTGACATTGACGGTGGTGCTGATGACAGTCAGTGAATTGACAACTGACAACAGATGTTATTGACAATATTTACGACTAGCTGTTCGCCTCGACTTCGTCCGCGTATAATGACTTCTGGCAAATTTTCCATTTCATAATTAGTATTTTCCAAGGTAAGTTGCAATGCTGTGTAACAAATCTCATCAGAGTCAATTTAGTTATTTTTATTGTGGAATGTTGTTTATTTTCGTGATTTCAAAAAAATAAACAATCTCAGTTTCAGTGATTAAAACTCCATTTGAATTCCAGTCAAATAGGCACACCAAGTCGTGGTGGCCCGGAGGTTTAAGACGCCCACTTATCATGCATGAGGGTGCGGGTTCGAAACCTACCATCGGCAAGTACCAATGTGACTTTTTCCGAGTTATATGTATGTACTTTCTAAGATTATTTAGACACCACTGACAAACGGTGAAGGAAAAACATCGTGAGGAAACCTGGACTTATAATTTCTAATTATAAGTTTGAAATCGCCAACCCGCATTGAGCCAGCGTGGTGATTAATGCTCTAACCTTCTCCGTGTGAGAAGAGGCTTTGCTCAGCAGTGGGCATTTATAGGCTGTTGATGAGGCACACCCGTTGATTACTACCAGGCGTCATTTTCCCAGTCTCAAACTATCATTCTACCGAATTGCACTCAAATAGGTTCAGTGGTTTAAGCAATAGAGAGTCCTGGAATTTTAACGCATAGTTCCTGTCCTGTGAGATTTCATTTCAAACTCTCGTTAAACCGAATTTCATTCAAAGGTTTAGTGGTTAATAAAATTAGTATTCAGCCTCTTTGCATTCCTTAATGTTATACTATTGTTAGTCCTGGAAAACAGTTTTCTATTGGCAGTCAAAGGCTTAAGCAATATAAAAAGCTTTTTAGTAGTAGGTACATATTTTCACACATCGGGTAACATTATCGAAATTTGTAAACGGTTTTATTTTTTCCTCTCTTAAAAATATAGCTTATATTCATCATCGTAGAAATCCAACAGTAAAAGAATTTTTCACATCGGTCCTGTAGTTTCGGAGGAGATTCCATTCAAACAAACAAAAAATCTAATTTTTCTTCTTTATACCTACTATGTGTAGACCTTAAGCCCCGTCCACACGCTTGGTGTATGGCACAAATACCAAACACGACAAACAAAGTTCCAAACATCGACCACAATCATCAAACACAAACAGTTATCCTCACGCTCAACAAACGGGTCAATATTTTGTGGATCGGCAAACATGGCGGACGACGAGCTTGTGGCAGCTATCACTTTCGGTTTGACTTATTTTTATTTTAAATTTAAACAAAATGAACTCAAAAGAAGAAAACGAAGGTGTTGTATGTAAAAAATTATAGACTGCCTCATTGGCCAAGTGGTCGCAAGTGCGACTGCCGGGCAAGGGGTCTTGGGTTCGATTCCCGAGTCGGGCAAAGTATTACTGGGTTTTAAAAAATTCTCAGTAGTAGCTCAGAGCCTGGAATTGTGCCCGGTATATGGCAATAGGCTCACCCCCTATTACATGGGACTCATAACAGAAATAGTAAAAAAAGTGGGTGTTACATTGTACAGTGGCATTAGGTGCCGTAATGTGCACCTCTGCCTACCCCTTTGGGGATAAAAGGCGTGATGTTTTGTTATGTAAAAAATTATTTGCAATTAGGTATTAACCTAAATCGATGTTAGTTAATAAACTAAATTTAAATAATCTTTGTGTACATAATATATTATAATACGACCTCTTTAAATATAATTAAACACATTTCTACCAAAATTGTTTACCAATTAAAGTTTAATTACCAATTAAAATTAATACCAATGCAAGCGTCAATCATTTCTATTAATCATGGCATTTTAAAATTAGAATGACGGTAGCATCATTCAAAATTCATTCATAATACGTCATGACACGTCCACCACCCGTAAGCTCGCGCGCGCCACTGACCGTTTACCAAGCGTATGGAAACACCGCGAACTGTTCGCCAAACAGTCTATCTTTGAAGAAAAACCGACACCGATCCCGAACAGTGCCGAACACAAAAAAGAACAGGCAAATACATACAAACACCCATCCACATGTAGGTGCTTGCTGTTTGGTGTGTGTCATTGTTTGCCAAGCTTGTGGACCCGGCATTACACAAAGCCACATGAAGCTTGAGTCAACTTGGCGATGCAAAGATCTAACTAGCACCTCCAGTGTCAACACTGTGAAGCTGTCTAAGAACGACACTGACAGTTTTCGTATAGTTTACGTTACAGAAAAAAATATTTATTAAATATAAATCAGATTAATGTTGTTTCTTGTGTATTAATATTTGAGTAAATTTCAAAATTAATCAAATTTTATACTAATTATTCAGTTAATATCCTTAACTCACTTCATTACACTCGAATTCAATCCTATATCCTATAAACACCATCCATCATTAACCTCGCATTTATCTAAGATTCCTGATTCATTAACAATATTTATCTGATGCTCGACCGCCATAATAATGCACTTATATTAGTTATTTGGCCAGAAGGAGTTATTCCAATTTTAAACTTAGTTTTATTGTTTTTTTTATTATGTGTACGTCTGAATGAAGGTCGACTTGGAGAGAGTGGATAGTTTAAACACTGTACTGAAATACTAAACGCGTATAATATTACGATTACAATGCTTGCTACTCACACCGTAGAAAACATTTCCCTGTACGCCATATAAATCCCGGTAATGCAACCATAGCGTCATCTAACACGATCCCAATGCCATCTATTGAGCTCTGGGACTAAACCAAACAAAATTTGATACTAATTGACATGCTATTTTAAAACGAATCATATGTCTGCCAGTATTAGTATCAATAAATGTATATTGATGTATTGACAACAAATAAAAACTAAAATCACTTAAGTCAAACCAGTAGTTTTTTATTTATAAATGTTTTTGTAGTTCGATCGGCATTTTTTTACCAAAACCGAAAATGTAGACTAACTCAGAAACTAGCCACTTTCGGACCAGAGACCTCAGGGCTTATATTATCATTTTATCAGTTGTATTAACATCTCCCGAGAGGAATACGTCGAGTTACAGGTCATACGAAAACTAAGTGTCGTTCTTAGACAGCTTCACAATTTTGACACTAGAGGCGCTAATCTTTACATTGCCAATACAATACATACTTATACCATAACTCCATGTACCTATCAAATTCATAACCCTCCTTGTGGCTTTGCCATAGTCGGATAAGGCAACCTACCATTTCAAACAAGGTAATACGTTTATGGTCTATGGTTGTACACAAACACGGATTAAACAAAAAAGAAAAAGATTTTTTTTAGGAGAAAAATCATCGAATGATCGAATTACTGCTCCCACCTAGGTGAGGCGGGAGAGAGTGTCAGACTCTTACTGACTAAAAACCACCCCGTTCCTTCTCCTGCACTTCGAGCCGGAGCCCCACTAACCCGTTAGGTTCTCCGCTACAAACAAAAAAAAAAAGACTTACTGTCGTTTTTGTCTTGTCAGTGTCAAACAAAATATAAAATTGTCAAAATCGCGAAACAGTTTTCTAACCTAGTGTTGGAGCATAATTTCACAACAGTTTTTAAATATTTCAAAGATGTATGAGAACGAGTATATTTATTTTAATTGAATTTACATTCTTTTAAATATTTTTATTCTATATAGTAGTAGAGTTCCTCTCGTCGTGTACACGCGAAGCAAGAAATAGTTTAGTAATGCTTAGAGCGAGAGCGGTATCTGCAATTTACATCGAGAGCCAAGCTCTCGAACTGCTCTCCGCGGCAAGAAAAGATGTTTACAAATTATTCCGTGAGTATTTCGTCTATGTCCGGTTTTGATATATATTGTTGGACTTGAAAGTGTTAATGCAAAGATAACCTAATATTACTGCTGTAGATAAGAATCCAAACCTTTAAATTATTTAGAATTACCTTACTTATTTGGGCAAATGGGACCGCAAGTAATTGTGTATCTCAAAATTTTAATGGAGATTTGAAGTAACATGTAATTTTTCTCCGACAACTATGAGGATAATTTTCTTAAAGCTGCTTAGTTAATTATAATTGTTTTATAGTAAATTTAAGTAGTAAATATTGTGTAATTTTATACAATAAAAGATTTAATCATTATTTTATTTAGTTTCTATATTTTTTGAAATACCAATATTATTTTCTTGTTTATTTTTCATACCTCATTAGTACACTTTCTAATATTGTTTAGTTATAAAAAAAATATAAATATACATAGCAGTAGCCCACAAATAACAAAAGAAATCCAATTAGCATAATTATTATAGGTACTTATTTTTCTCCTATATGTCCAATTAATTTCAATAGCCATATTACTTAATTTCACCAAGGTGACTCTCTGACCGAGTTACTCAATGTCTATTCTACGGCTGTATCAAATTTCATTTAAATTTTACCTTAGCTTTTTATTTAACGTGAGATTTTAACAGAGTAACAGATCTACTTCCATTTGTCTGCTTCCATCCTTTTTTTTTTTAAAGAAAAACAGGATATAGTCCTATGTTGAGGCCCCTAGCATTTTCTTCTGTGTCATGGGTGCGTTAATAAACACAAGTTTACATACACATGACACACAGACCCGGAACAACAATCTGTGGATCACTCTTCTATGTGTTCTTTTATGTGTCTATGAGTTCTTCTATGTGGGAATCGAACCCGCGAAACTTTGCATGGCGGCCAGTCATCAAATTATTTTGTATAATATTAATTAATTTATATACTGAGCCTTTACCTGCAACTTTGCACGCATTAAATATATGTATAAACCTTACTCTTGAGTCTGTAACAATTTGAAAAACCATGAAGATCTGTGATGTAATTTGAAACATGTAAGCATACAAATAGGGACAGACAGTGGTCATTGACCTTGTTTTATATTGTGTCCTTATAACACTCATGTTATTGTCAAGAGATGGTCCTTGTATGAGTGCAGATGTAGCTGTATGTTAACTTTCAAAGGGTAGGCAGGTGTAATTTCAAAAATAAGTAATGTTCATTTCCTTCAGTTGAAGTCAACTGTGTACATTGTACGTACGTCGTACATACATTATAAGTTTGAGCTTGTTCTCAGTGAATGTGTTGCTTGTTGCAGGTTCCAGTTCACTGTCCAGTCAGACCTCCGCGTCACAGGTGAGTACTGTCACAGGGTGTGTACTTCGGTGAAGCAGTAACTATTTTATCACTTAATAAACTATTTGCATAATGGATGGGTGTGCTGAACTAATGTGCTTGTATTTGATTTCAAGCTTCCGAGGAAAATAAAGCGCTATAGAACGGTAGGTACCATACCATGAGCTGCAATACCTGCAGGTCTAGGCCGCGGTGAAAAGAGTGTCAGGGATGCCAGCTGATTACAAACCATGACTTATCATTACTAATATGTAATGTATATTGATAACAAGTCCATGCTTGCACACATCCCTCCTACTATCATTACATTCACTTTGTCCAACAGACAGTGTTAACGTCTCCAAAAGGTGGGTCCGAGCATGCTGCGGCGCAAGGTGTCAGCGCCCCCGGCGGGGGCGGCGCCCCGGGCGGCGACGGCGCCCCGGGCGGGGGCGGTGCCCCGGGCGGGGGCGGTGCCCCGGGCGGCGGCGGCGGCCCGGGCAGGCTGTCGCCGCGCCGCTCCTGGACGCTCGCCGCCACCGCGCTCACGCTCACCGCATCCCTCGGCGGGGTCAGTTATCCATTGCCTTACGATACGGATATATACAAACTCCATGTACATAATGCAATTTTTACAACGACATTTTATTTCATAGTCATGTTTTGGACAGCAAAAACTACCATAGACTATTCTAAAAGAAACTTACAATGTTAGTAACTGTAAATAACGGTACAATTGGAAAGTTATCGTTGGACATCCTGTATATCGTGTCAGTTCCACTGTCTCGTCTAAGTAGTTACAGTTACATAATGTATCAGGTGTACTTGTACCGCAAACTGAGTGAAGAGATAAAGGACGCGGCCGACATAGAGCAGCCGCCCGTCGCCGGCGCCCCCAGCGCGGCGCTGGAGCCCGAGCCCGTGCCCAGCTCGGGCGCCGCCTTCCCCGCGCACGTGCAGTATCTGCTGGTGGGCGCCGGCACCGCCTCCTTCGCCGCCATGCGCGCCATCCGCTCCGCGCGGCCCGACGCGCGCGTGCTCCTCGTGGGCGCCGAGCACGAGCTGCCCTACATGCGGCCGCCGCTCAGCAAGGAGCTGTGGCGCGAGCCCGACCTGGCCGAGCGCGCGCCGCACCTGGACGCGCTCTCCTTCCGCCAGTGGAACGGCCGGCGCCGCGCCGTGGCCTACGAGCCCGCCGCCTTCTACGCCGACGTGGAGCAGCTGCGCGACGCGGGCGGCGCCGCCGTGGCGCGCGGCTGGCGCGTCGTGCGCCTGGACGCGGCGCGCCACGAGGCCGAGCTGCGCGCGCCCGGCCGCGCGCCCGTCACGCTGCGCTACGACAAGTGCCTGCTGGCCACGGGCGTGCGCGCGCGCCGCACCGAGGCGCTGCGCGACGCGGCGGCGGCGGGGCGCGCGCTGACGCTGCGCGGCGTGCGCGACGCGGCGCGCCTGGCGCGCGCGCTGGACGAGCCGGGCGTGCGGCGCGTGGCCGTGCTGGGCGGCGGCTTCCTGGCCTGCGAGCTGAGCGCGGCGCTGGCGGAGCGCCTGGCGCCGGAGGGTCGCTCGGTGACGCAGCTGTTCCGCGAGGCGGCGCCGCTGGGCGCGGTGCTGCCGCCGTACCTGGCGGCGGAGGCGGCGCGGCGCCTGCGCGCGGCGGGCGTGGCGCTGCGGCCGGGCGCGGAGCTGCTGCGCGGCGAGCTGCGCGAGGGCGGGGTGACGCTGCGCCTGGCGCAGGCGGAGGACGAGGCGGCCGACCTGGTGGTGGAGTGCGTGGGCAGCGAGGTGGACGACGAGCTGGCGCGGGCCTCGGGCCTGGAGACGCACCCCGAGCTGGGCGGCCTGCTCGTCAACGCGGAGCTACAGGTACTGGACTGTACTCGCAAGGTCATGCCAACCTGACTACAGCTGTGAATTGATTACTTTCTTATTAATTAAATCTTAATTATTTATAAATTTTACATGAATACAATAAGTATTTCACGAGTAGTTGGAAGTATTGTCTGCAATGTTATGTATCGTGTGCGCAGGCGCGGAGCGACGTGTACGCGGCGGGTGACGTGGCGTGCTTCTACGACGTCGTGCTGGGACGCCGCCGCGTGGAGCACCACGACCACGCCGTCGTGTCCGGACGCCTCGCCGGCGAGAACATGGCGGCGCTCGTCCCGCCCAAGCACTACACGCACCAGAGCATGTTCTGGAGCGACCTCGGCCCGCAGCTCGGCTACGAGGTCAGCGCCCACCGCTCGGCCTCCGCTCGACCTCCTCCGACCCGGCCCTAGCTCACCCGCGCTCTGCTCCGCAGGCCATCGGCATCATCGACTCCCGGCTACCTACAGTGGGCGTCTTCTCGGCGGACGCCGTCGCAGAAGAAGCTGGCGCCGCGCAGGTAGCCGCGGCGCACGACGTCGGCGCCGCGAGCGCGGTGGCGGGCGGCGACGCGAGCCCGACGGCGAGCGGCGAGGCGGGCCCGTTGTCTGGCGGCGAGGCGGGCCCGTTGTCTGGCGGCGAGGCGGGCGCGGCGGAGGCGCGGCGCTACGAGCGCGGCGTGGTGTTCTACCTGCGCGAGCGCCGCGTCGTGGGCGTGCTGCTGTGGAACCTCTTCAACCGCATGCACGTCGCCCGCCAGGTACGTGCAGCCCCGCCCTGCCCGCTGCCCCCTGCCCGCTGCCCCCCTGCCCCCTGCCCCCTGCCCCGCTACCCCACTGACCTCTCGTTGTGCGCAGGTGCTGGCGCAGGGCGAGTTCGAAGACCTGTTCGAGGTGGCCAAGCTGTTCTCCCTGCACGAGGACGAGTAGACGCGCTACACGGGGACCGCGGGTCGTACGCATTTATCTGTTATATTTGTAAATAACTAATATAAAACAATAAAACTGATCTAGTGACTATTATTGTATGTACTTTTATTTCGGTGCTCCTTCTAGTTGAGTAATTCCCCAGATGTCACCGTCGTCCAAGGAGCTCGCTCACACAGTCGACCGGCAACAGTCCTTACAGGCGCAGCATAAATACTTCATGAAACTATGAAGCGGTCATAACAATGTTTGTAGTCTAGTACCACGACGATGTGCCGTGACGTCATTTTCTGTATCGCTGTGTCGAGATTTTCCGTCAGTTCATAACAAAGATAGAAAGTATAGTAAGTATAGGGAAAGTTCATGACCTCGGCAACTTTCATGCAACTAATTGTCCTATTCTGGACTCGATTGTTTTATTATATTGTGAGATATTTTAAGGACGTTGTACACAGGCCATATATAAGGTGCTCTATAATTATCAGCCACGGCTTTAAACTGTCAAACACCAAGCGGTCACCGGTGACCGCGACCTATTGTTCTTTAATTGTGTCTATAAAACCGGTACTCGACGAGTTAATGGGAGGTAGTGTTAAGTTTACAGATTATAATTGTGAAGAAATTTCGTGCCCCGGAGCAGTTAATTACATACAGTAATTAAGTAAACATTGAATACATTCTACATAATGTGGTTCACAAATTACGCGCGATGCGTCGCTTAGTCAATGAAAACAATTGCTATCTCTTTCCACGTGTACTGAGAATGAAAACGGAAATCAGCTAGTTCGTCACTATCTAATCTACTAGATACTCAATAGGCAGGCTTTTTTTTTTTTTAAGGGGGGAAAATCATCGAATGACTGCTCCCGCCTGGGTGAGGCGGAAGGGAGTGTCAGACTCTTACTGACTAAAAACCACCCCGTTCCTTCTCCTGCACGTCGAGCCGGAGCCCCGGTTACCCGTTAGGTTCTCCGCGACTCCGAATCGGCATCGGCCCTATTGGGCCCCATCTGTGGTGGTCTGATGGCTCTTTGAGGCGCGCGCGGAACGCGACGCGCCGTACGCTCGGGTCTGTTTCTGGTCGGACGGGGAGCCACCCATGCTCGCCGTCCGCAGGCCCGCGCTTACGGTGGCCGGAGATCGTCCCGCGATCCCCGACGCCCGGTGTGTCCTTCGCGACGGCTGGGTTGCGAGGAGGCAGCGCTTCGCTGCCTCACGCGTCACGGTCACTATGTATAACTCCTATGAATTATCACTGCTATCATGGAATTCCGACGGATTACGATCTAAAATTTATGAACTACTTGATCTGGCGGTATGTACCCTATCTATTGATATTATAGCTGTCTGTGAAACTAAACTCACTAGTAACACACCAGGTTATATATGCTACCGTCAAGATAAACACCATAGTGGTCGAGGGCACGGTGTAGCCATATTGGTCAACGATAGACTCGAGGCTCGGCAGGTTATTATTCCCAAAACCAAACATATTGAAGCAGTCGCTATTGGCTTGGTAATTGGAGGCAAGGACTACGTGTTTGTTTCGGCTTATCAATCTCCCAATTTAAGGCTTGAAGGTGGTGACTTGGACATATGTATGCGGTAAGCTTGATAGGTTTGTTTATGCTATGCTAACTACCACCTGCATTGAAAATTTACCAATTAATAAATTCAAATGTAAAATGGTTACTTGGCTCCTGGACATGTGTTTTTACTCCGTTAACGAATTTTTAAATCATCCTTTTTGACCTTGTAATTAATATTTGATGCTATTAGAATATTGACATTATGATTAATATATATATATATATATATATTTTTAATTTGGAACCAGTAACTATGACATGTATTTTATTTTTTTTTTTTTTTTTTGTTTGGTAATTATATTTTGACATAACAATTTGGACGAAAAATGTATTATTGTTTTTTTTTTTAATGAATAAATTGTATCAAATGAAGATTATTGTAATGTCTAAAATTTGCATGGACTTAGCTTATTTAATATTTCTACACCAGAAATGGTAGTATATGTGTTTCTATGTTTAATGTAAGATCTCAGTGTACCATGTACTTAGAAATAAATACATCTGGAGGAGGAGGCGGTAGCCCTGCGAGGTGCGATGACGGGTATCTGCGATTCCGCAATGCCCCGCGTCAAGAGTCGTCCTACGAAGCGTGCGGTATATTGG